AATTCCACTTCAGTGTGCTTTGCTAATTTACATGATTTCTCAGTGACTTAAAGAAAATGAAGAAATTAATTTATAAATTGATAAGCAGTACCCCAAACAACTCAAATTAAATGAATTAATATCAACATCAATACCCTAGTATGTTATGCATCACAATAAGTGCAAAAAAATCAGAGGAGATATTTAAGGGTGCTATTTATGAAATAAATATTTCATAAATAAAATAATTTCAAACATTCATGTTCAGTTTGACATGTTTACTATGTGTAGGTTTTTAGAATGTCTAGAAATTTCTTTGCATGACCATTTAAAGGTAGCAGTTGCTAAATGTATGTTTATCAAAATGAAAAACTTTAAAAAAGATGATCAAATATCCCTGTCCCATAGGTTTGGTACAACATGCCATACATCCTTTTCACAATAAGAGTCAAAATTTTGAACAAATTCTTCAGTGCTTAGTATTGCTTAAACTTCTTCACTGTAAATTTGAGTATAAAATCCAGTTCCCTCTTTAGTACACGTGACAACTTCAGATAGCAGTTTATTTTGGACACTAAAATCTACAATGCATCACACAGAAAATTTTCCTTACTCGAAGGACATAGAGCTGTTGGACTGGATCCAGGGGAGGGCCATGAAGATGATCAGAGGGCTGGAGCACCTCCCCTACAAGGACTGGATGAGAGAGTTGGGGCTGTTCAGCCTGGAGGACAGCAGGCTCCAGGGGGACCTTATTGCGGTGTGAAGGGGTTCTATAGGAAAGCTGGGAGGGAATTTTACAAGGGCAGATAGCAATAGAACAAGTGGGAATGGTTTTAAATTGAAAAAGGGTAGATTTAGACTAGATATTAGAAGAAATTCTTTACTGTGAGGGTGGTGAGACACTGGCACAGGTTGCCCAGGGAAGTTGTGGTGCCCCTCCCCATAAGTGTTTGAGGCCAGGTTGGACAGGGCTTTAAGCAACCTGTTCTAGTGGGAGGTGTCCTTGCCCATGGCAGGGGCATTGGACTAGATGATCTTCAAGGTCCCTTCCAACCCAAACCATTCTGTGAATGTATGATTCTATAAAGGACTCTTAAGACATCAAATTGTCTAAAGAACAATCATGAAATGTTCATATCTGATTTAGGCTGCTTTTTCAATGCCTCAGATCTCATCCTCTGTAAGTTCATGTATCTTTCATGAATCTCAGATCTTGGTTGCAAAAGAAATGCACAATCACAATCTCAAGATCATTCCTCATTGTTTCCATCTCGTTCCTTTTTCTGCCATCTTTTTATTTTCCCTTTGATACTTTCCATCTTCTCTTGCCATTTTCTGCCTAGCCACAGTATATCTCCAGTCTTTTAGCTTTTACACGTATACAAGCTGCCTGGCTACCTTTCCCCCACTGTGCTGAATTAGCAGTACAGAAAGAAAGGTCTCTTTTTAACAAAAAATTACTATTAAGTACAGCAGGAGAATAGCAGCAGAGCAAGACACCTCACTTAAAATGGAAACCTATCATGGGATTTCAGTAGGTTGATATTTTTAATGGAAAATTAGAGAACATGCTAAAAATAGTCAATCTGCAAGTTACTGCATCTGCAATTTTTAATTAAGTATCCTTTGTTGTATTTATAAAAGTAACCAAATCTCTTCAAAACTGAAACAAAAGCTTTTAAAAATATGCCTCTATAAGAGGATAATACCTCAAAAAAAGAAAGAAGAATCATGGGAAAGGCAGTTATTAGTAAATTTAGACAATATATTTTGTTAAATCAACATTTTCTTTCCCTCCACAAAATATCTGAATTCCTGTGTTCATTTGCATTAGTAGAACTTTCAGAACAAGTTGGAAAAGCAACACCTTATCAACTAAGATGGCCATTAGGCTACTCCAGAGCACTAGCACTGGTCCTAGGTGACAGCCTGTGTCACTTCTGCACCAACATTCTCCCCTCTTTATGGTGAGGACATGAGTAGGAAGCACAGCTACATAACTTCACGGAAAGCATTCACTCTTTGAAACAACAGAAATTATTAGGGAGTCAGGGAGAACCTTTGGGCTGCAGTTATCACAGCCTCACTCAAAAGCAACCATGCACACAAGATATCATTTGTCCCTGCAAACGTACGAATTATTTTCTCATGTCCAAGGGACTGAGAATCAGACATGGTACATACAAGACTATTCTTTCTAAGGGAAAGAACCCTTGATAGCCCAGAAAGTGATTCCTGAAACTTTCTATCCTCTCCAAAGGTTTTTTCTACATTGGAAATAATACAGATTGTATAAAGAGTGATTTTAACAAGAGCTGTAAATGCAGGTCAGTAACATTTTTTTCTTGTGTTGTCCCAGTGCTTTTTGAAAACATTTATACCATGTGAGCATGTTAGACATATAAATAGCAATCAGAGTAACAGTTCTTCCCCCAACTCTATTCTCGCTCTATAACTCAGCTGTTCTTGAACATGGAAATGATACTGGAAGCCTAGAACTGGTAACACTGCACAGAAAGTTTCAGAAAGGTGACCCAAAAAACATGTTTGCCTATCAACAAAGTCTATGAGTAAAGAGGTACTTCTTGAACATGCTAAGTAATTGTAAATTATTTTTTTTTTCCTCTGGAAGGGTCAAAAAGCATATAGTATCTTTAAAGAAAATCCAGAGAAAACCTCAAGACTCCAAGCAGAAAAGGAACACAGGTTTGTAACACATAGTAAGAACTGAAGTGACAACAAACAAAAATATTCCAATGCTAAGAAAATGGTAGCAATGTGCCCAGAAGGCAAAAAAAGCAAAGCATTCAGCCTAAATACTACAATAGTACAATGATGGTGACAAAATATGCCTCCTTAAAGCAGAGAACACAACAGACACCATTGGAAACTTCTCAAACCCAAATATGGATCAGTGGCAAAGAAAGGAGCAGAAGATCAATATTCAAGAAACAATGCAGGCAAGACTGTAGGACCAAGTGGCATAACACAGAGAGAGCCAAACACAAATAAAACTGAGAAAAGGGTAGCACAAGTAACTTGGTTCTCCTGCAGCAGGAAAGCTGTTATCAATAAGAATGCTACACATCAAGTAGTGGCACACCAGATAACCTCTCTATTACTCTCTCTGGGGAAAATAGCACTGGAGGGAGATGAAGGGAAGGTTTTCCTCTCCTGTGTCTCCAGATCTCCTACATGGCACAGGGGGATCCCACGGGGCCCGTGCTGCAGACAGCTGGTGCACTTGCAAGAGCAGCATTGCTTCCTGCGGCTGTACCAGAGCCTGCAGGCCAGGCGGAGCTGGCTGCCTGCCCCTCTCCTGCTCACAGGCTAATTGCTGCTGGCGTGAGCTCCCCGAGCAGGAGAGCATCCACAACCATGCACAGCAACCAAGGCATAAATGCCTTTTGGCACAGCATTGAAGAGCTATGCTGCAAGCACTGTATCCCAGTTGCAGCACCACAGCACAACCACAGCAGAGGATGGGTGATGTGGCCATCTAGGGACCTCAATTGACCCTGTCCCACAACCAGCACCTTAAATGGTGGTAAGAGAGAAGTTGCGAGATGGTTAGCATATTCATTAATAGGTCATCAGGAGCAAGAAATTAAGGTTGCACAGAAACAGATGCACAGAAAGAAATATGGCAGTTCTAAAACAACCAAAAATCTCCGTAGCTATTTTTCCAAGCATTTATTATTGAAAAGATCATTTCCTGCAAAGCATCCTTAAAGATCTTTGAACAGATTTCCTAAGAAAAATGCAAGTAAATTATTGACTAAGTCTAATGTCTAATAATTTCCTCACTGAATTTTACAATTAGTTATAAGGCAGTTTAAAAAATTCTTCCTAATGCAAGATCTGCACTGTTGTCTAAGTCTGTGTCTGTGTTACAACACAGCCGTTAAGTGGGTCACTCCTTACAGAATAACACTCTAGAAAAGCAAGAAAGCAGTCTAAAGAAATTACAAATACTTTTTATTATTAAGCAGGTACATACTACCACAGCAGCCATCAAAGACTTGTACCCTTAGAGCAATTTCGGCATCTGCCATTCCAGTCAGCAAATTATTATTAAAGCATACACCTCAGCATGGAGGTATCCTCATTTCACATAGTTACATTTACAGTGTTTACCAACGAGAATCACTGAAAAGCTTTCACGTAGAGAAAGGAATAAGTCCAAATAGAAAGGAGACTGAATTAAAACTTTGGGGGATTGAAATAATTCCCTTAGTTTTGAGTTACTGCTTTTACACACATTTTGGTCAACTGACCCCTCTGCAGAAATATGCAAACACTACAAGGGAGGTATCTTTTCTCACACATCTACTGGACAACAGAAATACCAGACCACACCCTAAGTCTCTTCAGATTCACCTTTCTCACAGTGCTGAAGCCTGATTTCTACTGTAGAGGGGCCAGAGAATGAGAGAACATTTCTGGCGCCACATATACACTGAAACACTAAGCTTCTACCATACTTTATATACTGTTGCTGACTATACAAAGATTTGTAATCTGCTTTGGTTTTTGAAGCTTTTTTTCTGCTTACAATTATGGTCTCAGGCACAATTTAAAAATATTTAAATATATATTTAAATACATATTAGGACTGGCTGAGAGAGTTGGGGTTGTTCCGCCTAGAGAAGAGAAGGCTCCAGGGAGACCTTATTGCAGGATTTAAACTGGAAGAGGGTAGATTTAAACTAGATATTAGGAAGAAAGTCTTTACTGTGAGGGTGGTGAGACACTGGCATAGGTTGCCCAGGGAAGCTGTGGATGCCCCCTCTCTGGAATTGTTCAAGGCCAGCTTGGATGGGGCTTTGATCAACCTGGTTTGGTGGGAGGTGTCCCTGCCGATGGCAGTAGGGTTGGACTGGATGATCTTTAAGGTCCCTTCAAACCTAAACCATTCTATGATTCCATGACATATAAATATAACTGAAGATTTAGACTAAGTACACTCCACAAAACACCAATTTGTGAGAGGTACTATATAGGTCTTTGATGTTTACCTTCTGGGCACTGACAACTGAATCCATTGATGCTGGATGAGCAGGTACCTCCATTTTGGCATGGCCGCTGGATGCAATGATCAATCTCTGACTGGCACAGCTCTCCAGTGTAACCTACAAAACAGCACACAACATTCAGAAAATATAGTGAATATGAGATTTTAGCACTAAATGTATTACTAGGTCATTCAAACAGTACATAAGTTAAAATTAACCAAAGTAAGAAATAGAATAGGACAGTCTTCTAATTTCTTACACAATGAGATTTCTCATTAGAATTTATACTTCACTGGAGAAACATAAATAAGTTGTGGAAATATAGAGATTATATCAATTGTATTTTACCAGCAGCAATATTCTGACAGCATTAGTATAATGGAGGTTGGTGCTGGGTCCTCATCAGCACCCATATAACCAAAAAAGTAGTCATATTTGAACGGTTTTCAAATGCATCTTAATCTCAAGTCACTAATCCTTAGCAAGGCTTAAAACAAGACTTGACATTAAGGATTATTTGTGCATATGCTGAATGACTGTAATTTGCTCCTATTTCTGGGCTTTAAAGAGTGTTTATTTTAAGTAGGAGCTGTGAAAAAACTGATCAGCACAGTTGCAAGCTTTTCCAAACAAGCTTCTATAAGTTCACATGCTACAGACTGTGTGTACTGTACTATTTGACCATAAGTTTGCTTTGTTCCATATGTCTGATGACTATAATCAATCCTCAAACAATGAACTTACAAAATACAATCTAAATTAAATACTCCAAACTTAAATTCCTTTAACAAATACCACACATTCCCCTTTCCAATTTTTATTTAGTGCCAAGAAACTATCTTGGACATATGACTAAAAAAGAAACTACACACTAAAAACAGGCATTTTATTTTTTAAAATAGAAAAGAATTTAAAAAAAAAATTAAAAAGGAATTGTTGATACACTGACATGAACTGGTATCTAAGACAAAGACCACAAGATGAGATAGAGGACATACCTACACTAGGATTTTGCTTATGCAGGGGAGAAAAAGGAAAAAGGAGAAAGGAAAAAAAAAGAGAAAAAAAGAGAAAAAAGAGAAAAAACATGTTTCGATTAAATAATTATTTTAATGCAATCAAAATTAACATTTATAAGTCTTTTGGGCAGGCTAATACTTTACCTGTTCAAATCTATTGATGTCACTATAAAATAGCTCCCAACATAGTTATATATGGAGTTGCTAGCACTACTATAGAAAAGGCACTGTAAGACTTTCCTCTGTGTACCTTACTGCTTTTATATGCTATAGGGAGTTAAATTATGATCCTATTCTCTGCAATGCAAAACCTGGAAAAAATAAACTCTGTTATATGTTACAAATTAATGCCCATAAATCAGCTAAACTGAAGAAAAATAATGAGTCTGAAACCCAGAACTGTGTTCTCATGTGGTACCTCCTTCGGACCAGACTGAAGCGCTTGGAGGGACATCAGCCTCATTCTGGATAACCAGTGATTTTCTGTAATTCTAATTGATCTCAACATAAAATCTATAAAAACAACAATGAAGTATTATAGAAGACTACATAAACTTATTTCTTTCATCCATAGGCTTCATATATTTTCAAGATTTTCAAGATCTCACATTCAGCTGATTATTTTTATGAATCATAACACAGTATTGCATATACTTAACGCATTTAAACATTTTTCCATCTTCGAACTGTTACTAAGTTCATGAAAGCTAAAAATTACCCTGGGATTTAATGTGTATCCAAAAGAATGTTGGCACAAAAAGGCAGAAACGCTTGTGTTGCCCTGAAGCTTCCAGTAATTGTCATTACAGCTTGTGGGAAAAATCAGAGATAATATTTTATGTCAGTTTTATGAAAATAAGTATGTCCCATCATATTATTATCAATAGGGCATGTTTTGTCCATCTGAAAGAGAATATGATTCAGGAATTTCATAGCAATTATGTCACATGCGCTACAAATCAAGAGTTGCTAAACAATCACCAGGGTTGCGGAGGGGAAGATCTTTTCCGGTGAGATACATTTTAAGAATCATTCCACCTATTCATTTTGTGCTGATACTTATCTTCATAACATTTCCTTCTATCAAGATTTGGGAAACATGGTCCTATTCACATACAAATGTTTCTGAAATGTGCATATACATTTAGGATAACTAAACTCTTATTTACCATTTTATTTAATATTTTTCCATATACAATGAATATTTTTTAGAAATTCATAATTATATGAAGCCATCTAGTTTTCCTGACTATTTTTTGATGAGTGGGGACAAACTTGGGATGAAAAAAATACGGGTAGAAACACAAGCCACTGAAGTTAACAATGATTAAGCCATCTGAATAACATCAGACATTTGCTATTAAAAAAAATAAGAAAAATTCTTTTTAAAAACTTAATAGCTAAACCTAAACATAATATGTGGAGACCATGAAGCACAACCTTGCAAGTTCTAGAACATAATAAATGAAGATAATTATATTTGGCTTTTTGAGGATTCACAGAGGGACTTAATCACACTGTTGTTCAGAAGGGAAGCCTTCACATATGGAAACTAACTAATTTCATTACATCTATTGTAAGCTTTGTTTTATAGCATGACAAGTAGGAGGGGGTTTTTAAAAGGAAATATTTAGAATTTTGACTTTTTTTTTCCTCCAATAGGAGCTAACAATTGTTCTAGAGACAAGGAGAATAAACAATTATGAAAATAACAAGGCACAAAATATATTTTAGGAAGATAGTTTTTAAATGGAAAGGATAAAATCCAATGTTAAAAGACAGTAAATACATCAATGGAATATATATTTCATTTCCTATATATGTAAGAGAAATACATTATCTTCAAGTAATTTTCATGATCTTAGTAATTGTTTCCTGACATCCCACGGTATCAATTTTTCTACAATTGTGTTCATACTTTACAAAGTACGCAGTTGAAATGCCTGTACCTAATAATGACTATGTTTTTAACTCCTAGGGAGCTTTTAAAAATACAAAGAGGCTAAATCAAAAAAACAAAACAAAACAAACAAAAAAACCCACCAAACATAAGCACTTGATGCAGATATCTGGGATCATAATAACAAAAAAAACCCTCTAGGATTTTATATAATGACACAAATAAAATAACATTTGGTTTATCAAGGCACTATAATTTGTAACTTCCAAAAAGAAGCAGGAACTATCACAGACTTGATCCAAGTGTAACAACAGCAGTGATATCTTCGGAGTCTTTTATATAACTAGGAAGTATATTTATGTTATACTCCTAAGCTTTACAATAAGCACATCAGAAGTATCATAAATATTTCCCCTAACACATTTTTTACACAACTAAAACCAAGAATTTTGAAGTATTTGAAAAATACTTTATATTAAAATTATATTCCAGTAAAAGTTCTGATGTCATGAAATTCAGGCATGTTTTTTTAGAAACATGCTTGTGTTTCTTCTGAGGTAAGGAATGTGAAAAAAGTAATTTAGCCTAATAATACTTGATGTAGAACAATTTCCAAGATAGCTACCTTAGTAAAAGCAAACAACACAAACATAGCAAACAACGCAAACATAGCAAACAAATACATTTTTTTTCTTTTCTAATTGGAAACTACTTGTCAAAATCCAAAGGAATTCTGCATCGATCATATTCAACACGACAGTAATGGTAGGGATTGTTCAAACATTTGAGTTTTGTTCCACTCTGATCTTTTTCTTCTCATATTTAAATCATTATTCAATTATATTTACATATCTTGTTAAAGTGAAAGCTGATCCTTTGGTGAAATTATGAAATAGAAAAGAGTACACCTGCATAATAACTTCACATCTTAATCTCAGAGAAGTATAAATCCGGGTCATTATATAAAAATACAAATATTCTTTCTTTCTTGCTGTACATTTGCTAAAGCAAATTTAAGCAAAAACAGAAAAAGTGAAAGTCCTAGAGGTAAAAAAAGTATAATTAAAAGGAAACATTTAGGCCTTTGAAGAGGACAATTATGTCTTACTTATTTGCCATTGCTAATTTTCTGAACTGCAAAGCTCACACAGCAGTGCAGAAGGGAATACATGGCAGCCACATTAAAGCATCACTTGCCTCCACCTGCTTCTGGCCCAGTCATTTTTCAGGCTGGTACTTACACATAATCTAGTGCAGCCAGAAGTTTCTCTAGTCTGTGCTGACATGCATTAGGGTAAAGAATAACAATATTCCCATCTTTAAGGGAATATCAGAACACCCAACTCCACGATCATGCTTTGGGGCAGAACAAAGGAAGTAATGCTACCTGTACCTTATACATACATTGAATGCACACAAACACCAACCTAGCATTAAAGCCAGTCAATAACCATTTAGACACAACCACTAGAAACCTGATCAAATCATTCATTTCTCCATTTCCTTTTTATATTTTGCACATCTTCAGACCTATTCTGGAAGCATCTTCCTTTATTCTTTTCTTGTTCAGCTAAGACCTCTTTCTCTCTAATATCAACTGACCAGTATTGCAGAAACTACAGTCTACAATAAAATGTTTGTAGGAAGCAAAATAAATTATCTGCTACTGATCCTAATCTTAGTCAACTTATTTTAAAGTCATTTTAGAAAATATATATTGAAGTAACTGTTCTATTATGATAATTGAGTTTGATTTTGAAATGTAAACTTTAGATAGTTTACATTTATAGTTTTCTATAATAGCCATTTGGCAATGTTTGTTTCATCAGCAAATATCTTTAATTTACTCTCCAGTATATGACCATCATATTTAGTTTAATTTTAATTTCAATTAAGAAGTCTATGTTCATTTTATCAGATTTTTAAAACAAATGATCTTAAAATAACTTCAGAGAACTCAGACACTTATTCATTTATCAAACACACAAGTTACTCAGCTTAATTTTTGAATTTTTAAAAAGTTTTCAAAATCTAAGTTAATTTTGAGGATCAATCCAACAACTGCATAGCACGGAGAGAATTTTCTTCCATTTGTTTTGTGCAACTGAAGAAATGAGGTTACCAGTAACAATGAAGACATGTTTATTGAAAGGTTAGTTATAATATATACTTAAAATTTATGTTGAAAAAAAAAAAAAGGTTAAGAAAAAGCTGACATAAACACAATTTTGGTCATCTCTTCTTTGTAGATGATGTTCTATAAGTTATGAATAATTTACTTATTAGGTTATGGTTCAGACATGTGCTTTCAATGGCATTGTGCACAGGTGAAGAATCTTCCACAGCCTTTTTAAAACTGCCCTTACATTGTTGTATTTTCCTTCTTTCCTAGTACCTGCAGTTGCACAGTTCACTCCTCTGCAAAAGACATGCACTGAATGTTAAAACAAAAATGCATTATTCAAAGAGTAATACAAAACCTACCAGCCAGGCAGCTGCAGGTGAAATTGCTCCCACCATGTTTCTCCGCTACATCGGTGCAGGTTGCGTTGTTCTGACAGGGCTGGCTCTGACAAGCATCAAATTCCTCACACAGGGAACCCTGATATTTGTCCTCGCAGTCACAGAAAAAAGTTGTCTAAAAACAAAGAGGTTATGTACTTCACAATGAATTTTCAAATATTATGTTTCCATTGAGTACTGAACGAAGAAGTTTTTGTTGTTCTTCCATTCACAACATTAGCTACCATAAATAACTGCATAAAGTTACTTTTTGAAATACTAAACCTGCATCAATTCTTCAGGTAAAATTTTTACTTAATGTCAGGTAATTTCAACTAGACAAGGAGACTTGGATCTGATCTATAATGTCTAAATCGCTATATATTTTTTCTTCTATTCCAGAAATTATATTTACATATTGGAATAATTGTCAGAATATGTGCATATTTACAGCAACAAAATCCTAACATAAAGAAGCATCCTTTATGTTGAAGGGCAGGGCTGGGGTCCCAGAGGCTCACTTCAGTGCTACGTCAGTAGTACACACCTCTTCAATGTTGTTGAAATAGGTCTTCTTCTGAATGTATCTGTTATTTTCTCCACACTTGGCTGCTTCATATAAAGATCAAGAACACTTGTAGTTAAAGATCTTAAATATCTATAGTATGCATGATGTGCTACATTTTTGTTAGCAATAAAATAATTATGAATAGATTTTTAAAAATCTTTATGTGGCTAAGATGCCAAGGAAGTCTCAAAGAATGGAACCAAGGAAAGCTCTCATTTGTAGTATCCATTTAGATTAAATATCTTGCTTTCTTTGTTCATTAAACACTAGATGGCAACATCACTCACTGCCAGATCATTAGGGCTGGAACACAGCTGTCAAAGGCACAAACATTGTAATGCAAAGTACAAAATGTGCATGGAACTAAAAACAAAGAGATGGGGTTAGTCTTTTATCTTCTATTTTTACTTGTGTTTGCTTCACACGAATAAACAGCTGTGACCTAAGTAGAAAAGAAAATAATCATCTTCATACAAATAAAAAAACTTTACTCAGTAAAACCCAGATTTCATTCTTCCTTACAAATATTGCACTGGTAGAATTTAAACAGGAGTTAATACTACATATCTCCAAAACTCAAATTATGGGTATGTTATTCATCTGAAGTGCCAGAAGTCCCTGCTAGGTGTATGGTCTATACATGTTCTGATATTTGCCCAAGCCTCTTCACAAAATAGCTCTGAGTATCTCACACATTAGCAATGACAGGTTTCCAAACTAGGCTGTGGGTTCAACACAAAGCAAAGACAGGGAAGCAAAACACAGTCAAGATTTATTATAATTGCATAGAACAGTAACCTATTTTGAAGATAATTCATATATCTACATAGGAAAATGGCTAACAGAATGAAACAGATAATCCCTTTTATTTAAAAACTAAACAATTAACGAAATACACGGTAAGTATTTCCACATTTCCATATAGCATTGGTGGAAAACACATCAGCACAGGGGTCACTTTGGTCTCTAAAGACAACAGTGATCAGTGGTTCAACATATCATATCACTGGAGTCGTGTAGTACCATTGTGCATATACAGGATCAGGAACCAGGTAAAGAGTGCACATAAACATGTTGCCTGCATCATCCTTTGCAGCTGTTCTAACTCCTACTGATACTAAATTATGTTATTGACTTAAAAGTGCTTGCTATTGTTCCTAGAATGGAGCGCTGAGTTTACACTTAATACAAAATAAAGGTTTTTGCCTGTCTCAATAACTCACCTATTCTAGATGAACTCAAGTGAGAATACCATATTATTAATAACAGTCATTTTTTCTTAAAATGGACATGAACAGAGCATAGAGAAAGATATATGCACCATACTTAAATTCTGCACCCTATTTGAAGAGATCAGTCTTGATCTCACTTAAAATGTGTTTCTGGTACTTCCATATGCACTGAAAATGAGAGCAAGCATATCTATGTCAATCTGATGCTAAAAACATCCCTAAGCAAGAGATCCAAGAAGTATAATATCCCATCAGATTTAACTCTGTCAGAGAACAGAAAGGTATCATTGCCTTGGTCTTTAATAAGGGCAGATGCTC